ACCCGCAAAAAAAAAAAAAAAAAAAAGACCACAATCTTGTGTTGTGGCTTGTCTTCGTCGTTGCCTACTGCCGTTGTCCCCACCACTACAAATACATATTTTTTAAAAATGCATCCTATTTTTTCAATACAAAATACAAAAGGAAAAAAGTGGGTTTGTTGGAAATTTGGTTTGGTGGGGGGATTGGGCCCCACAACACCAACCGCAGAGCAGAGCAGCCCCTCGTAAGTGCGTAAGTAACAAAATCAAATCAAAAAGGAAGGAATTGGGAAAACAAACATCATTCATTCATGATTAAAATTGACTCTGAAAATGCAAGCGGATAGATGTTATTAACATAATAAGAGTTGCCAACAACGGCCATGGTAACAAACAACGTGAATTATGTAATTACAAAGGACAGACTGTCGGAATCAAAACACGAGAATTATGCATACAACAAACAACGCAGCTCTGCAGAATGAATGATGCCTACTTTTTTAGCATATGATTCGAAATTACATAGTAATATGCGTAATTAGAAATCATTACTTAAAAACAACCTACTATTACCAGGAGAGGAAGGCATAAGAAATCACAGAGAAAAGCAGCCAGAGATCAGATTACGGAAGCTTGCTCCTGCGCCACCTCCAATAGTTGGCTCTAGTTGGGTCCTCGCGTTCCAGGAGAGCGCAGACTGTTTCTGCCAAGTTAGAATCCGGTCCTGGAGGACTACCTACTAAATCATTGACAACGTCTCTGAATTCTTGACTTGGTTGGAAACCATACGAGATGAGATCCAAGAGCGTGCTCAAAGCAAAGACACGGCTGCTGCTTTTGGTGCTCAAAACCTTCAAACACAGCGAAGATACTTGGGAATCATTCACCCATGAACCACTGTCGTCTTTGTAAAGCCCTCGAAGGTATCTCCATGAGCTCTCATTCTCAGGACGGGCTATGACGGCTCTAACAGCATAATTCACTTCAGACTCTCTCATACTTTCTAGGCCTTCCAGGATCGGAGATCTTGTAATGACAAAATACCTCTGTCAAACACAAAGATGCAAAGAGATCGATCGCTTTTCAACAATTTCGAAGGAACCAACTACCAAAATATTTGTCAAACTGACACCTAACATCCATTATTGATAGGCAAATGGTTCTCACGGTTTTTGTACTCTACTAAAAAAAAGACACTATTTTTGTACTCTACCTGATTCCAAGCAGAATTATTGAAAATGTCTTCTTCGAGGAGATGATCACAATAGTTAAGTTCGTCTTCCCACCCACCTAGTGACTGAAGAACCCACTGCAATTTATTTTAAAGAAAAAAAAAATGAATCGTCAAAGCCTAAATGCTAGTAGAGATGGCGCTTAAATTACAATCTCTGGTTAACTAAAAAGATGTAGACGTGGTCAAGAAGAACTTGTCAAGGAGAACAATTACAGCATACGTAAGCACATTGGCACTAGGGACTGGGAGAAAGAAACCTGTCTATGGGACCATGCGTGATAATGTTTAGAGTCAAGCGACAATATCTTCTTGGTGAACTCAAGCTCGTTGCTTGTAGCACTCGTTCCCAATTTCTCAGCGACCCATCGTCTATGATGCCTACAGAAATCAAATATATGTGTCATCAGGTTTAGCGAGTTTCTAACTTTTTAATTTTATAACTTCCCCAGAAGGGACAATACCAGGAATTACACATAATAACGGCAAGACCACTCATAGTTAAGCCTTAAATTTTCTGCTTATATAGGCAACACCACAACAACTAAAACAAAATCCCAAAAGTCGTATAAGAATAGCAGAGGAGATACTATACGAAAGCCCGAGCTATGATTTCATCAGATGTGAAGTTGTTAACTTCATGAGTTAACCACTCAATGTCCAAAACAGGGAAAACACTATAGAAGCTAGTGATTATGAAATTGAGAAGCTTATCTCCAACACACTACGAATAAATAAGGAACCTGCGATGCACATTAATTCTTTTATTTGTTCCTAGGACATATCTTACATATAAGTCAAATCATATATGTTGCATTAGAACTCCATTCTACAAAAAGATTATTAAAGAAATTGACAAAAACATAAACACATATGTTGTACTTTAGAATTTGAAAATGCCTAAACATTTCACTTCATTTGGTTTTAGCATCGAAACATAAGAGAAGATTACAGGAATACTGAAACTAATAATCTCTATTCACTGGGAACCAGGACACAAACTAATGTAAAGGGCTCACCATAACTGATAATTTTTGGAATTTCCCTTGGCAACAACCTCAGTGAAATCCAGTTCGCCATGCAAGTCAACATTCAGAGCCTCAAGAATTGCTCGCCTGAACTGCCATAGCTACAATCAACCCACCAAAAAAAAAAAAAACTCTCAATAAAATTCACATTACTTACCATTAAAAAAAAAAAAAAGGCCCACATTTTCTTGGAAACCAAACAGAGAAAAGAAAGAACCCAACAAAGCTATATTTTAGAGTTAGTTAATTAATTTTTCTTGCTCAGCAAGCTAGTTAGACTTACTTAACAAGTTACTTTAGACTTAATTAGCAAGCTAGCTAATCGCTGGTGTATATAAACCACTTTGAACACTATCTATATTATGAGCTTGATGAATAAGATTCATTTTTCATCATTTTTCAATTTCTCTTTTCCCGTAAGATGGTATCAGAGCAAATCTCCGTTGCCTAATTTCTCTCTGTTTTTCTTTGATTCCTTTGATTTCTCAAATTCATCCAATCTCGTTTTCTGATTCCTTATTCATGCAAGTGTATTCATGGAGCCTTCAAACTCTAGCTTTTCCAGTTCCCAAAATGGCAAGTCCGCCATTGATGATCCTCTGAGTCCTTTCCTTTTGCATCATTCTGATAGCCCAGGGCCTGTACTTGTCTCGCAACAACTCAATGGTGACAATTATACATCCCGGAGCCACGCAATGGTGACAATTATACATCCCGGAGCCGCGCAATGGTGATAGCTTTGTCTGTGAAGAACATACTTGACCTCATTGATGGATCCATTCCACGCCCAGACAGTACGAGTGTGAATCTCCTTAATTCTTGGATTCGTAACAACAACATAGTTATTTCTTGGATTAGTTATTTCTTGGATTCTCAACTCTGTATCCAAATAAATCTCTACTAGTGTACTGTTCTCCGACTCTGCTTTCGAAATCTGGATTGATCTTCAAGATCGCTTTCAGCAAATTAATGGCCCTAGAATTTTCCAATTATGTCGTGAGTTAATCAATCACGTTCAAACTCAACAATCTATTGGTGTATATTTCACGAAGTTAAAGGCCTTATGGGAAGAGCAGAGTAATTTTAGGCCTTCCTATTCCTGTGGCAAATGTACTTGCGGTTTGGGTTAAGGAGTTAAGCCAATATTTTCAAACATAATACGTGATGTCCTTCCTTATGGGACTAAATGACAGTTTTGCTCATATTAGAGGAGAACTTCTTCTCATTGATCCATTGCCTCCCATCAATAAAGTTTTTTCTCTTATCTCTCAAGAGGAACGTCAGCGCAGCATTGGTTCAAGAGGAATTGATTCTACAAATGGCTTGGCTTTTGCAGTCAAGAGTGATGGATCCAAACGAGCTAGTTTTGATTCTCAAAATTCTAGAAACAATAAGGGACAAAGGAGGGAGAGACCATTTTGCACTCACTGTGACTTCCATGGACACACTTTTGAGAAGTGTTACAAAATCCATGGATATCCCCCAGGTTACAAGCCTAGGCAGAAGTCTCAAAATGTTGTTGTCAATCAAGCATCTGTTTATCAAGTCTCTAAGCAGCAATCAATACCAGCAGTTAATGACCATGCTTTCTAGCCATCTGGTAACTTCTGTGACAAACATAGGTATTTGTTCTTCTGTCTCCATGAAATTTGGTCTTTCCCCCACAAATCATTGGATAGTTGACTCTGGTGCGTCTAGGCATATTTGCTCAAATGCAAATTTATTTCTCTCCATGAAACTTTTACATAATTCTACTGTGACTCTGCCTAATAATGCTAGAATTCCTGTTTGCATGTCTGGAGATGTTTAGATAAATTCTTGTTTGATCCTCAGAGATGTTCTTTTTGTTCCCCAATTTCACTTCAACTTGCTCTCTGTCAGTGCACTTAGAGTTGATTTACAACTCATAGTGAGCTTCTTTCCTGATCATTTTATAATTCAGGATCCCAACAGCCAAAGGATGATTGGCAAGAGTGATAAAATTGAAGACTTATATGTCCTGAGTACTGAACATTTAACTGCCGAAAATCTGCGTCAAAATGTTCCACTTTCAGTTCCTGCTTCTTCATTTTTTGTTAATAAAGTCTCAGCTCGTATTTGGCATAATAGACTCGGCCATTTATCTTTTAAAGGCTGAACATTTTGAATTCTCAATTATAGTGTGATACCTCTAGGTGTAATAATGATGAACCTTGCTACATTTGCCCTCTGACAAAACAAAGAAGATTACCTTTCATTTCTCATAATAACATGTCGCAGTTGCCTTTTGATTTGATTCATTGTGACATATAAGGTCCCTATCATATAAGTGCATTTGGTTATTGATATTTCTTGACACTTGTTAATGATTGCACTAGGTTTACTTGGGATTTTCTCCTTAAGCAAAAATCTGATGTGTCTACAGCTATACCCAAGTTTTTAACCTTTGTTGAAACTCAGTTCCATACCAAGATTAAGGGTTAATGATTGCACTAGGTTTACTTGGGTTTTTCTCCTTAAGCAAAAATCTGATGTGTCTACAGCTATACCTAAGTTTTTAACCTTTGTTGAAACTCAGTTCCATACCAAGATCAAGGGCTTCAAGTCTGATAATGCCAAGGAGTTGGCTTTCACTGAACTTTTCATAACAGAGGCATTTTGCACCAATACTCTTGTGTTGACACTCCACAACAAAACTCAATGGTTGAAAGGAAACATCAACACCTACTCAATATAGCTCGGGCATTATTTTTTCAATCAAGAGTTCCAATTCAGTTTTGGAGTGAGTGCATTCTAACTGCAGCCTTTTAATAAACAGGACGCCTTCTCCTTTGCTTGCTAATAAATCACCATATGAACTGTTATACAAAATACCAGTGGATCATTCCTCTTTGTGGGTTTTTGGGTGTCTTGTTTTTGCTTCCACTTTATCTGCTCATCGTACCAAATTTGATCCACATGCTAGAATGTGTCTTCTTTGGTTATCCTAATGGTATGGAAGGATATAAGCTTTTTGATCTTCACAGTAAAAGTTTCTTTGTTTCTCGAGATGTGGTTTTCATGAAAATATCTTTCCTTTTTCTTCCCTTCCTGATAGAGAACATACCATTGATCCTTTTCTTGACATAGTCCTGCCATCACCAACCATTACCACTTTTTCAGACCATCGTCACTCGGTTTCTCATACCACTCAACCCACAATCTCAGCATCTCCACCCACAAACCCTGCCCCTACAATTCCTACTTCCCTTTGGCGTTCTTCCCGACCTACGAAAGCTCCATCCTACCTAAGGGATTTCCATTAATTTTTCTCATCCTTCCAACACTTTATATCCCTAATCCACCAAAGCTCCATCCTACCTAAGGGATTTCCATTGTAATTTTTCTCATCCTTCCAACACTTTATATCCCTAATCCGATTACCTCTCATATGACAATCTTTCCTCTTCTCACAAAACCTTTGTTATGGTTGTCTCTTCACAATTTGAACCCAAATTTTACCACCAAGCTGTTCCTTTTCAACACTGGCGTGATGCCATGAAATCTGAACTTGAAGCCATGGAAACTAATTACACCTGGTTTGTTGTTCCACTAGCCCCAGGCAAACACTCCATCGGCTGCAAATGGGTGAATAAAATCAAGCACAAATCAGATGGTTCTATTGAGCGTTACAAGGCTCGTTTAGTGGCAAATGGCTATACTCAACAAGAAGGTGTCGATTACATTGACACTTTCTCCCTTGTTGCTAAGTTGGTCACTTTAAAAGTGTTACTGGCCTTAGCTTCTAGCCACAATTGGCATTTAGCCCAGCTGGATGTTAATAATGCCTTTCTTAATGGGAATTTATTTGAGGAGGTGTATATGGATTTACCACTTGGCTACACTCGTAAGGGGGAGCACTCTAATTCTACTGGCAAGTTGGTCTGCAAGTTACACAAATCCATTTGTGGCTTGAAACAGGCATCTCGTCAATGGTACTCCAAATTTTCACATTCTCTCATCCAGTTTGGTTTCAAACAGTCCAAGTCTGACTATTCTCTTTTCACTAAAAGTTCTGGTTCTTCTTTTGTTGCCCTGTTAGTATACGTGGATGACATTGTTAGTACTGGACCTTCTCTTGATGCAATTAATTCTTCAAACTCTTTTCAGCATAGTCATTTCAAGCTGAATGACTTGGGATCATTAAAATACTTTCTTGGTCTTGAACTTGCTCGTTTATCACGTGGTATAGTTCTTTCACAGAGGCAATATACTTTACAACTTTTGGAGGATACAGGTTTTCTGGCTCTAAGCTTGCCTCCATTCCTATAGATCCCAAACTTCAGCTCACTGCCACTGCTGGCGATCTTCTCACCGATGCCTCTCAATATAGGTGCCTTATTGGTCGCCTTCTTTATCTCACCCTCTCCTGTCCAGACATTACCTTTGCCGTGCACAAGCTTAGCCAGTTTTTATCTCAGCCTGGGGTTCCTCATCTACAAGCTGCACACCAATTTCTCCATTATCTCAAATCAACTCCTGGTCAAGGCTTATTTTTTTCTTCTACTTCTTCTATGCAGCTCTGCGCTTTTTCAGATGCTGATTAGGCTTCTTGTGCTGATACCAGGAAATCCGTTTCTGGTTTCTGTGTATTTCTTGGTGACTCCTTGGTCTCCTAGAAAGCCAAGAAGCAAACCACCATATCTCGTTCCTCCGCTGAGGCAGAATACAGGGCGTTAGCTGCTACAACCAGTGAACTTGTTTGGATTCAACAACTGTTGCAAGACTTTTGCATCAGTGTTCATGGTCCTGCTCTTCTATTTTGTGACAATCAGGCTGCCATACACATTGCTTCTAATCCCATCTTCCATGAGCGTACCAAACACATTGAGATTATTGCCACTTTGTTCGAGATAAAGTTTCTTCTGGTTTTCTCAAACTTATGCCAATCAGATCTCGGCACCAGTTAGCTGATGTGTTCACCAAAGCTTTGCCTCCCACATTACTATTTCCTTTGTCATACAAGATGGCTGTTAAAAACATACACATTCCATCTTGAGGGAGAGTTTTAGAGTTAGTTAATTAGACTTACTTAACAAACTACTTTAGACTAACTTCGCAAGCTAGCTAATCGCTGGTATATAAACCACTTTGTACGCTCTGTATATTATGAGCTTGATGAATAAGATTCATTTTCATCATTCTTCAATTTCTATTTTCCCGTAACAACAACAACAACAACAACAACCCTTAAAGAAATCCTACTCAGGATTTTATTAATAAAATCCACATATTCAAACCTGCAAACATTTTCTGGGAAACCAAACCAAGCAGAGAAAGAACCCAAGGAAAAAAAATAGAAAAAGAAAAGCTTTGGGAATGATAAACAAAGAAAAGAAATCCCCAAATTCAAAAAGACTTTCCCATATTTTTCTCGGAAACCAAACAGATATAAATCACTAACAGTGTAATTGCCGGGGTTAAGAGAGATGGCCTCGGAGGTGAGGGACAGAGAGCGAGGAGAAAGCTCTTGGGAATGAAAAACGGCTCGGAACAAGTCCATGGTATGAGTGAAGTCATCCTTGTAGGCAATCGGAACGACAGGATTTGGGCCGTCGTCTTGGGGGAGGGGAGTGACATCTGACCACTCCGGTCGCTGCCAGATTGGGATCCACGGCTGGTTCTCTTCTTCGTCGGATTCCATCTCTCAAAATTCACTTTGTGATCAAATCTATTCTATTTTATTTTGGTATCTATAAACCCAGAAACACTGCTCTGTTTCTGCAAAATGCCGTATTTATTAATAAAATATAATAATAAAAAAAAAAAAAAACAAAGAAAAAGGGTGTTTCTCTTGTGACAGTTGAAAAAATGAACAATTTCTTATTTTCAATAGTTGTATCACAAATTATTTTCTACTTACTTTTTTTAATTTGATATAAATTTAATTTATAACGGTCTAAAAAAAGAAGGTTAATGGTCCCTCAATTTTATTGTAAAATTTCACTTTAATTCTTAATTTTTTAAATGTCCTAAACTTATTTGTTTCTTTCAATTTTAATCCCTTTTATTGTAGAGATTAAAAACAGAAGAATATTATAAATGACATTCAGTTAACATATTGTTATATATTACATTTCTATTTCCTGTGCATGTTAGAATCATATGTATATTTGAGTGTTAAAAGCAAAACTTATAAATTATTATAGTTTGATTAATGCCTTGTAAGTTCTATCAGAAAAACTTTCACATGTTCAGAGGAATTGCGGACAGCTCTTTGTAAGATAATATGTGTGATTCATTGCTCCTGTAGTAGTCATAATAGTTAGAACTTACATTTTTGTAACTAAGTGTAAAAAAACTTTCCAATTTCATTCAAATTTTGTTAGACATCATGAAGCGAAAACATTATTCACTCACGGTTGGAAGCTAAATGAGATGTACTTGGCGGCCGTTTTCCCTTCAACAGTTATGGCTTCTGGTTCAGGTGCATATCACCTTGTCACGCAAGTAGAGCCAATGGACGATGTTGCTGCTGGGGATGAACAACCACAAACCCACCAGAATGCTCCTTACTTAAACAATGATGATGAGGAGATTCATACTAAGCTTCGCAAGCGCGTGGAAAGTTTTGGAAGGCGAAATGTGACCAATGTCGCCTCATCTTCACGAGTGATTAGAAAGAAATAGACAAGGGCACGCAAATCCAATGACAGTTCACGAGAGGAGTTGCTTGAAATGGTTAGGGACATGCACGACGATTTGCGAGAGGACACTCGTTCAAGTAAAGAGAGCATGCCGAGTGACAACACTATCAATGGGCCAAGTGAAGCGGATATCATCCTAGCATCGCTCTCAAAAATGGGAATTGAGCTGCGTACGTAAGCCTATGCCTTCGAAAAAATAATGGCATTTGCCATGTGGCGGCCAGTTTGGCATAAACTGGGTGATCCCATTAGAAGGGCCTTCCTAAACGACTCTGTTGAAGTGCCAAAAACTCCCTTTGTGTATCAGGTTCCCAATCCATATATCCAGCCGCCTCATAACTTCTCTCCCAGGCCAAATCTGTACAACCAGCCTCCACATTCCTTCCACCAGCCATTAAACCCCTATAGCCAGCCCCCTAACCCATTCAACCAGCCTTCAAACCCTTATAACAATCCACCTAACCTTTAAATGTCCGGTGCCCTGTTTCTATTTAAGAGTTAAGTTATATTAAATGGTCGATTTTCTCTTAATATTGGACCACGGATTAGTGTTTAGTACTATGTTGTTGAGTGTAAACCTTATTTCAAGTGATGTAAAACAATTTTCATTCTTTGTTGGTGTACTGATTTACATTCTTTCTTTGATGTATGAGACTGTATTGGTGTGTGCTATGTACATTTTTAAGAAAAATATGTTTGAGATGAAACAACAACATGAACAATAACAATTGGAGGAAAGATTGTTGCTAAGTACAAAAAGGTAGATAAATTAACAACATACTAATAATATTAATAAACAAATTAAATGAAAGAGAATAACCGTTGACATATGTTAAAGTGTGAACTAACTAGATGCAGCGTGAAAATGAGGAACGAGATAGAAGAACGTCTTCAAGACGCCGGCGTTGATTTATGGCCGCAATAGGTGCAACCACAGCTGCAGCTGTTTATTTGTCTAATGACAGAGTAAGAAGGCCGATGCACATTTCTTTTTTAAGGGGCATGGACAAGGTAAATGAGCTAAGTAAACAATAATAAGACTGCAATATTTAACAAGGTGCGTATGGGACTGCGTGATTTTATGATTCTTTGTGAAATACTAATTGAGAGATGCTTGTTACAACCCTCACATAACATGAGCGTACCTGAACAATTATTTGTGTTCTTAACAATCGTTTCACAAAGTCAAAGTAATCGTGAATCACAAGACGCATGGCAACATTCTGGGGAGACCATATCACGCCGGTTTACTAAAGTTTTATATGCTATATATGCACTACATAATGATTTCATTAAGCCCCCAAACTATGACAAAGTTCATGAATTTTTACGTGCCAACCGTTAGAGATATGATACATGGTTCGATGTAAGTTGTGTTACTCTTTTACATCTAATTTTTTAACTATCATTGGTCTTCTTAATAATAAGTCGATAAATATGTTTATATGATACTTATGTGTAAAACTTTTACTTGAAATGGTCTGGATTGTGTAGGTGCAATTGATGCTACTCATGTACCTCGTACACCGATTGGTGCTCATAATCCAATGGCTTATCAAAATAGAAAGGGTGTGAACTCCCATACCATATTGGCAGCCTGCTCCTTTGATATGAAGTTCACATACATATTATCCGGTTAGGAAAGTTCAGCCCACGATGCTCGAGTGCTCGCAGATGCGCTAGACAATCCTAGGTTTCAGTTCCCACGTCCCCCACCAGGTTACACTTCACAATGTCTTCCTACTTAAGGCTATTTATTATTATGGGCCCTCAATTGCAGCCTAGTTTGGATATGTTACACAGAAAACTACTATCTTGTTGATGCGGCGTATGCCAATGATTGTTTTCTCGCTTTGTACAGAGGTGAGACTTACCATTTGCCTGATTACAGAAGGAGAAGTGGTGGATTCTAAGGACCTAGAGATATTTTTAACTACAAACACTCATCATTGATAAATTGTATAAAGGGAACATTTAAGGTTTGGAAGGCTAGGTTCCTTATCCTAAGGCGGTGTAATAAGACATATCCAATGAATAAACAAGTGAAGATTACAGTTGCATGTGCATACTACATAATTTCATTCACATGGTTAATGAGGGTGATAAGTGCGCGAATTTGCACTTTTAATAATCATAATTGTCAAATTATTTTATCAAATTTGTGATTATAATTTCAAATATTCCTAAATCTAGAGGATTTAATTTTAATTAGATTTATTTTATTTTTTAGGTTTTTGAAGAAACCAATTGGATTTGGGCTAGTTTACCAAGCAAAACCCAAAAGTTGAGCCCAAGAAAAGCCCAATTCGGCCCAAAAGCCGAGAAGCCACGAGCTGAGCCAATAAGCCGCGAGCCAACCCAGTGCCACGTGTCGACCACTGCCGCACCGCAGTCCGTGGGACCCAACTGTCCCCGCGGATACGCGCGCTTGGCGCGCACGGATCCTCTCCCCGGGCGACTCTCCTCCACGCGCGTGTCACCCAGATTTCCTATTTCTTCCGTGTAGGTCCCGCGTTCCAGCTTCCCTCCAGCCAGGTCTCGCCACGCGTCCCAGAGGGGCCCAGCTGCTCCCCCGCGTACGCGCGATTCACGCGCACGTTCCCTCCCCGCGCGAGTTCTCCTCCATGCGCGCGTCCAGTCTCCCTCCGCGTGGTCCAGCTGTGCACCGCGTCTCTCCTGTGCACGAATCATGTTGCGACACGTGTCCCACTCTTCAGAAACGTGATGGTTTTTCTCCCTCGATTAAGCCTTGTAACTTCTTAATTATGATCCAGTTTTTAGCTTTTTAGCATTCTCAAAACTCTATAAATAGGGCCATT